GAAAAAATTGTGCAATGAGATAACCATTCTCTCCATAGGATAAAGACTGAGACTCAAAAGTCTATATTCAGAGGGAAAATTTTAGTAACTCACGTGCTTGGCCATCCCAAAGTCAGCAAGCTTAACAACCCCAGTAGAATCAACAAGCAAGTTAGCCCCTTTAATGTCCCTATACAATTCCAGCAAAGATAATCATTTTCCATCCAATAAAATTTGTAGCAATATCTTGGGATTTCATGTAGTAGATGGCTCCAGATCTTATGCTATGCACCATATCAACCAATATGATGATGTACCTATGAATTGTTTTTTGCTATGCAAGTAAGCCAAGCCTGAAAGAATATGACGAGTGAAACTTCGAACAACAGATTCTGTTATGGCGCCACAATGTTCACGGACATATTTGTTTATTGATCCAGGATGGACATATTCAGATAAATATAAAACCGGTCTTCAACCTTCATGATACAACAAAAAGTCAACAAAGTTAACTTTTATGGTTGTTCAAGAAATATATAACTAATTATGTGCACCTAATCATGAACAAGTAGATTGCTTACGATTCACTGCCATAATACTGCACAATGTTTGTATGCTTCAGCTGGCTAAGAACTTTGATTTCCTGAGAGAGATAAATTAGTAAGAAAGAGCTTGAGGAATCAGAAAGCTATAAAGCTTTGATTGTGTGGATGATGATTTGTAGAAGACTAAAAATAACATTTTTGCATAATTAGTTTGGGGAGGATATAAGTAAAGCCATAGTGAGCTCACGCAACCTCAAAATAAAATGCACAGGTCATGAAATACAAATCTAGATTAGTATGTTTTCTTCATAGCTCTGACGCCTCCAACGTGGAGAATTATGCTGAATAACCAAGGACTATATCAGGGTAAACTAGCGCATTGACTTCTTCAATGAAGTACCATATTTCTGATAACGAGCAAATGTTAATCCATACTAGTGTCAATGTGAAGAAAGAAAGAGCATATTTAATAAAACTTCATACTTGCACAGTTAACAAGCAGATAGTAATGGACAACCTGCTCTAACTGTTTAATACACTCGGCGGATTTGGGGTCATCGGGAAATATTTCTACTTCCTTCATCGCACATAATGCTCCAGTTTCTCTGTCACAAAACAAAAAACTCTTTCAGTACCTAGCAAGGAAGAGAAGAGAAAAGCATAAGATGCTTTAGAAACTTCATATACCTGTTGGTAGCCACATAAACACTTCCAAACGTACCACGCCCAATTAGTTTCCCTTTCTGCCATTGGCTTTTCATCGAGGAGGACTCTAACTTAGGCACAGTGGGGGAGAATTTAGGGGATGGGGAAAGCAAGGGTGCCCCAGGAGGCAATGGTAAGGGGTGAACGTTGAGAGAGGGGGCATTGAAGTCGCGACGTGCTACTGAGGTCTCGAGAGATAACCTGGGACGTATTGGCGAGGAAGCTCCACTTCGGCTCCTGAGATTTTGGTTAGGACTTCTACCTCGTGGACTGTGATGAGGAGAAGTATCAGTAGATAATGCAGTTAAATCAAATAATGCAGGATGCGTCGTCCCTGATGATGCATCAGACGTGACCATCTCTGGTGCCGACCAATATTGACTTGGCGGGGGACACACGTAACAATATTGAACGAAATCACTATGTCTTCCATTGTTCGGGCTCACCAAGGGACTGTTCAAAGGACTAACTGGAGCACTCCAAGTTGGGACTTCAATGCGGAAGTTAACTTGATTACTTTCGCTACCACTTAGATCCTGACGCATCATCACAGATGACCCCATTTCCGCTTGCGCCTTATTCTTTTTTACGCCCGGGCTAGCAAACACACTGGGACATACTTAAGCCAAATGTTAGTAAACTCTTAGTGCTAGCAAATGCGGCAAGCAGACATTATTAGATTCACTGAGATTATTACGCATGTTTATAATCAAACGCTTTCATGGATACATAACACTATACTAAATGAGTAGTAATATCTTGGTGTCCGATCATTGCCAAGAAAATGGAAATGTCGCCTATCCGCGGATTAGGGAAAGGCCACACGAAAAAAGGAATAATCGTACAAATAGCTTTCATTAAAAATGAAAAAGAAATATGGGAACTTTTCAAATATAAATGTTGTGAGAATGAAAGAACCACGTGACAAATAAGCAGGCGAAGAAAAGCTCAATTAAGAGGCGAAAAATATTACCTCTGAATTCGAAAAACAGAGGAGACCCCGCCCATCACGCCATCAGCTCGATCGCGATCTGGTAGCCCTTTCGCAGCGCTGTTGGGTCCGGCCACATCTTTCGGGAAAGGTAAAGGGCAATCAGCGTCTATGTGGCGAGAGAGCGCCGCGTCCGGCAAGGGCAAGGGTTGAGGTGCGACGGAGGAGGAAGAAAGGACGTTGTATTGGAACGACTAAATTGACGATCAGAGGGGGTCGTGGAATGAGCCAAGGGCACAAGAACGTCATCATCGGAATCATGCCACCTGGGAGGGGACCTGCCATCACTATCACCTATAGGCCGGAGCGTCTTGGGGCGGCTAGCCTTTTTGCCGATACCGAAAGGCCAAACGCCACCCAAACCCCGACTGGCATCTGCAGACTTCTTCTTAGGGTGGTCAACGTCGGAGGTGGAAAAAGAAGAAGAGGTAGAGGAGGATTTGAGACCATGAGAATGGGACAAGGAAAGGGAAGATAACCAACGCATAGCGATTCAAAAAAGAGAAGGGTTTTATTATAGTAAAGAAGGAACACAGAGATCGGCAGGCGGCAGAGAAGTACTGTGGAGAGAGAGAAGAATCGCCATTCGCAAAAGCGAAAGGAGAAGAACGAGGATGGATGATTATGGCATCTGAATATAATATATAGGTTTAGATGAAGAGGGAGAGGGAGAGGGAGAAGAAGGAATGAGTTTGTTGGGATATGTTTCTCCTTCTAGCTCTTCCTCTGTTTCTGTGTCTAGAAGAGCAACCAGAAAGCGGTTTACAACGTACTGCCCCCATGCCAAACGGGAAAGAAGACTCCATTTTGAGAGGTCAATATCTTCTCTCTCTTCCATCCGCCCGTGTCAACCCCCAAGTCCGTCACCACCTGACAGGAAGAGGATGTCACCTTCTCATTTTTCCTTTATTTTGTTTTATATTTTTCATTCTTGCTAGAAATTAATCTTGAAATTCTGTTATTAATTCTGCTATTTTAGTTGTGGTCGTTATTCCCCCGCCACTGGCTGCGTACCTGCCTACCCGGCTACCCTTTCTCTAAACAAGAAGCCAACAAACTATATAATTATCATAAACATGCATATATGTTAAGAAGAATAGTTTTAAAAAAAACTTAAAATTGCTAAATTCAAAAGTAGTTTTTGTTGAAGTTTTAATGAGTTTGGATAATAACAGGTTTTTTTAATTAAAATTTCTTATTTGAGATTTAATAATTTTAAAATTGTTTTTGTTGAATTTTTCTGCATGTGAGCATAGGATTCTTTTAAATAGTCATCAATCTAACCATACATTGTCTCCATTCAGATGAATATGCAAGTGATGTGCGTGCAGCGAGAGAGAGAGAGAGAGAGAGAGAGAGAGAGAGAGAGAATCCCAGTTTCAGTTTATTGGCCTGAAAGTGTGGATTAATTCCGAGATGGGCCCGCTTTTATCGCCTCATGATCACCGGGAGCCATTGAACTTAATTTTTTTTGTTTGACACATACTGTGTTACGTGATTCAAAGTCCGATAGTCATACAAGGGTCATGCCAGAGAATGATAAGCCTGATTATGCAGAATTAATGTAAACAGGTACTTAAAAGAAAGCCGTGTGCGAAGCAAAGTTTAGAATTTCACGTGTTGGACGCATTGTGAGTGCCGAATTCTTCGTGTGGAGGGATTAGCTATGTAAATACTTATAAAAGTGAACGTATGTAAATACTAATCGTTTAATAAATTAATAAACCTTGCATGGATTAGCTACGCCACATCGCCACCACCGGCATTTATCTCCCGTGGTGGTTCAGGCTAACCCCTCCACTGAGAACACTGTGGGCCGTCGGCCTTGTCACGCCAAGAAGGGGTCATTTTTCATGGACCGGGCCAGATCAACGGTCAAACGACATGATTGGGATTTTCGTCAATCAAAAGAAAATTATGGCAAAAAAGTAAGGACCGTGCTTTTAATATAGAGTTTGACCAATCAAGGGTAGATCATATTTAGAATTACTTATGAATACATTTTACATAAATCAAGATAAAACTCTAAATATTATAAATACGTCAAAGAGCAAGTTACTTAATGGGTGGGAAATGAAGCTTAATCGGTTGACGTGCGTTGTTTTTCTGGAATCACAAAATTAATTTAATTCGTTAATAAGAATTCAGCGTACGGAGCCATCATAATGTGGCTGTTATTCAATGAATGGCCCGCCTGCCCCCGCCAGACAGTCAGCACCAAGTAACCTTATTGGAATTTCATGGATATGTTCACACTGGCAACGGATAAAGACGCGTGATTTGTGAAAGGGAATTCAGTAGAGTTGTGCCCTGACATTAAAACCTGGGAAAATTCCTTTGTTTTGCGTTTAGAGGCCACAAAACACCCAACGTCCCATACCGGGTTCAATGGGGTGTCTAGAACGCCACTGTATATACGTATGACTGGCAACTATATGTCATCTCCAGTCATATAATTTCCTTCAAACATGGACCACAGGGTTCAAATCAAAATTAATTTGGGAAAGCAGCCACCTGCATTGATCTTGCTCGCACGGTCTGGATGATTTTTCCTTCATTCAAATAGCAAGGGACTATATGGATAAAATTTTTTAAGGACACGGATATACCTAAAACCTCCACATGTTTTCTCCCAAAATTCTCTCTCAAAGACTCTCAGAGAATTTGGATCTCCCCCGGGGAAAGGAGCTTTAGGGGGTGTTTGGGAAACCCAAAACCATGGTTTCAGAAGCACTTTTCTGCAAAACGAGATAATCTCCTCCACATATTTACTTCGTAATCCGTAAAAGCACTTCTGAAACCATGGTTTGGTTTCTATCCAAACACCCCCTTAATCTCCAAAACTAATTAAACTGTGAAGGTAAAAGGAAGGCATGAGACCCGAGTATTTTCTCCCCATTTTCGTATGGATATTATATTACCGCTGTATTGCTGGTAAAAAAAAAAAAAAACTCTGTATTGTTTTTTTTAAAAAAAAAAATTGAGCTGCATTTGGCAGCGACTTACTCTTGGGCTAAATTACAAAGGACTTGGTAAAATAAAACTCATTTGGGCCTGGATGTTCATCGTGGACCTAAAGGTAGGCCCAAATTTCACCTATTCATTTCATATTCTCGTGGGAAACCTTACCCAAAATAAATCCTTTTGGTTGGGGGGAGGTGATGAGAAGGGAAACACGAGCAGAACCGATAGGCAAGAATGCGGAATGCAGTGAAGACAGCAGACAGAAGAGTGCTGAACCAGAGCTCAAGTGGGTTGGGCATGCTGCTGGATCGCACGCCGCACACGCTAGCTCACCCTGCAAAATCTTGTAGAAAGAGAGAGCCCTTTGATTAGAAAATTGTAGGCGACTTGTCTTGTTTCCTTCCAACACATTAACCCCTTTTCTTTTTTCACTGTGAAGCTGGAGAGAGAGAGAGGGATTTGGTAAGACGGAAGAGAGAGAAAGAGGGGGCGTTAATGATGGGATCAGAATATTCAAGGCAGTGAGTAATAATAAGAAGAAAAGAGGAAGGTACCTCGGAATTCATTCCATGTTGTCAAATCCATGCACGTGACGGGGTGTTCCTTGCCTGCTTCCCACCAAAAGAAAGAGAAACAAAGTCAACAGCGACAAAAAGCATTAGGCATGAGTATGGAACCCCCCGGAAGATTTTGCTTGTCACTTTTTGCTCCCTCTTCTTCCCTCTCTCTTCCATCCACTGGTATATTCAGATCTGTCCATCTATGCCCACCTTTTAATTCCTTCATTCATCACGTTCGCCTACATTTATTATGTGCATGTACCTCCATTCTATATATATGGCTAAGATTCCCCTCTGAGAAAAATATATATATAGTTAACTTGATATTAGGTTTGGCCATACAAATTAATCATCAATCATATATAGTATGTGGATGTGTATATATATAATGAAGAGTTTCGTGTGGCTGCAGCTAGTACAGCCATCATAGATTTCGTCACGGCCTGCTCCCATGTGAAAAGCGCACACCTAATAAATACATACTCTGACATCTAAAACTAAGATTAAAATTCACGTATGTATAGTCTGTCTCCAAAATTATACATAGATATATATACTTGCACAACCAATAAGTTAAAGTTGCACTGGATGTCGCGTTCCCTTTTTCATTTGTATGAATATTACTGACAACGACAAACGCAAACTATGATTGTGTGATTAATTACTAGCATGAGAGAAGTTGAATGCAGGGTTAATGAATTACTATTGTTTTTTGTTTGGTTGTTGTTGTGGTAAAGGAGAGAAGGAAGATGATAATACTGACAAAAAGGAGGGGAGGGTACATAAAACAGAAAGAGATAGAAGATGAGAACAGGAGACGGAGGAACACAATAAATGAGATGAATCCTTCTGTACGCAATTGCTCACCAACACACTGAGTCCCTCTGCACTCCTTCCTTTTGGTCCCTGCCTTCTGCTTCTGCACTCACTCCCCTCACCCACCCCCTCTTTTCTCCCTCTTTTTCCTTTTCTTTATTCCTACTTCATCCCCTCACACAAACACATGCAGCCAAGCCCCGCTCTTATTTTAAGGTTAGGAAGTAGGAAGGGAGTGAGTGTGGTGAGAAATCTTTTTCAGAATATATGACACAGCTGAAGAGAGGAGAGGAGGGAGGAATATAATTTAAAAATATATATATATGGCTATAGGGGTAGGGATCTGGATTCTCTAAAACGTAGCATTGGAGAGACTGTGTGGGATGTCGTTGACTGAATTCATCCTCTTGACTTTCAGAGGATCAGATCCTGAGCCTGAGGTTATAACTAAAAAATATAATACTGCTAACAGGAGTAGACTAGTAGTAGATGATACTGGGCATTTGAACTGGTCAACTGAGCTAGTTTTGCTAAAAGGGTTGAAGGATAAACAAAGGTGCACGTGGCATGAAATCGGGCCGATGGGCCTGGAGAAAGATAGATCTGGGAGAGGTGCCGACGTGTAATCGCTTCGAGCATGAAACGTTAAGCCTGGGAAAACTAAACATGAATTAAAGCCTCCTTTATCGCTAAGTTATAAAGATGCCTCTCCTCCTTTGTTCCCAATCCCACCTTTTTGTTTTCATTATCACACCATTTTTATGCGCCATTTTCGTCGCTCAATAATAGCTTCTACTAATTTAAAAAAAAAAAAAAACCGCGTTAACTATATATAGCTATACGTACAAAAACAGCGATGTGTTAATTACCCTCGAACGGACAAAGGCTAAAACCAGTTTTACGCGTGCGTGCGTGCGTGTTATGGAGGTGGCTCTTGGTAACAGGGAAGATAAAATAAATAAATAGAGAAATTTTGAGTACACAGAAACTGAGAAGCGAAGGAAAGGTGAGAGAAACGAAGGGGGGGTAGCTGATGGGAAAGGCACGACAGAGAGGGCTTAAGGTTGAGTCACTCGCAATAAATTGCATATCAATCAATCAAATATATATAATAAGCAAGTAACAGCTGCCTATCCTATATATGCCGTCCATCAAAACCACTGTGTGCTTCCTGCATCCATCCCTCTAATTCACATTACTTATAATAATAATCATCATTTAGATTAATTTTTGAGAGAAATTTTACGAAAGGGTTTTATCTAAATTTGCGTAAAGCTTCTTTCCTATGTCAAATATCAACACTCCCTAGCTAATCTCTATCTTTTCCCCTCCTGTACGGATAAAAATAAGTTACACTGGGTTAGGTTTTAGCTAAATATAGGTTTACGATTAATATTTAAAGTCTGAGCCAGTTTTTTTTTTTTTAAGACCTGAGCTTTAGTTTCAAATGACCTAATAAGACTTGAAACCTATTTAAAAGGCTATTTAAAATG